GCACACACTCACAAAAAACAGAACTTTACCCAAATGGTATTCATAGCTTTGCGTCCTTTGTCCCAATTACATTAAATTATGGGTATTTTCTCACGTCAGGAACAGTATATTGTGAAAATTCCCATGTTTCTGAAAGCATGCCCTTTAAAGACTGTATCATATTCCATCATGAGGTTGCTCTTGGCCTTCTTCTCAAGCATTTTAGGAACACAGCATGCAGCTGAAAGGACTGAGCTGCCCATCGTGGACACAGACGTCTCTAGAAGCCACTGGGTCCTTGACATTTTCTTACACTTCCCCTGACCAACAGACCTCACCCTTCACCTAAAGAGCCACCTGGGGATATGAGAACGGTCAGTGAGTCTCTGATGTCCATTCAACCTTGACCTCTTTGGAGCAGTCAGCTCCGGCTGGGTTGGTGGTCTTAATCACGTGAATGCTTGCCTTCTGGAATGGGCTCAAGTTAGCACTCGGATTTGAAGAGACCACCGAGAAATCCAAGTCAACGTTCTTAGAATCTCCGATTTCATGAAAACCACAAAAGACACACAATTTAATTTTGAAACTCTTTCTTCTTTGCAAATTTTAACACCTGTGTGACAAGGCATGTCCACCTGTCCTTCCAAGGCAAGCTGACGAGAGAACGCCTCAACTGTCCCGTCAGACACTGGGGTGCTGTCTGGATGGCATGTGAGCTGACTCCGCCAGCAGGCTCTACACCACGGGCTGAGCTGGAAAGTGATGACCTGGCCGGCCAACTGTACACATGCAGTGTGGCACTAACATTCATTCATCCTTACCTTTCAGACCAATTTTAAGTTACTGGTCCACCCCTGGCAAATGTCTCAGAGGGTTCATGCCGACACTGAACATAGGAGAGGAGAGAATTTAAAAAGAAAACAAAAGAAAACAAAAAAAACAAAACAAAAAAAACACAAAAGTGGCATTACTTATCACCCCATTTCCCAGTCTCCGCCCCCAGCCCACCCCAGTCAGTGGTGGGTGAGAAGCACAATCCAGGGTTGGCAGAGATTTCAAACGGTGATAAGCTGGACTTGCCTGTTGCTAAGAAACGGTGCATTGCCAAGAGAAGCTGCGGTGATATTTTAACCTTCATCTCGCTGTCTGTCTGCTTAAAGGCAGAGAAATCTTGTTTTCTTTCCCGGTGAACAACTTTCTTTTTCGTTCTGTTATCAGCTGAGGGAGGAACAAGAAAAGAAACACTGTAAAGCAGACGCATAAATCAGGGCTCTCCTCGAATGAAAGAGACGCATTGTACCAGAGAGGCGACTCTCCCTCCCTCTCCACCTGGGAAAGGAAGGAGGAGAGAATTCTCTGCACACCACGGAAAGTGGGAGCCAGGAACCTGACTGATACCAACACACTTCGTGGAAATCTTCAAAAAGCTCCTTACTAAGTGGACGATGGGCAGAGTTGGGCAGAAAAACAAACCCCCAAACCCTCATAGAACCTACGAGGGGGCTTTAAAGAGTAACTGGAAAAACGGAACTAAAAGATCATGGAGTGTTCACAAACTTTTGGAAGCCCCTCATATATAACCACATAACAACAGACTATGCGCGCTCCAAACCCCAATCAAATCCAAACCAGGTGCCATCCTGCCAATGCCAACCCACGGTCACCCAGCCTGGGCAAAGCAGCACTGCCCTGCCCTCCTCCCCACAGGGTTTTCAAGGTTGCAACTTCCTGGAAGCAGATCATCCGTCTTTCCTCCTGAGTGGCCTCTGGGTGGGCTGGACTCACAAACTTTATGGTCAACGCCCAGGATGTAACGGTCTGTGTTCCCCAGACAGTCCCCTGTGCACATACCGTCTCCTCTCTCCACAGTTCACACTTGAGTGGAAAGCAAATGCTATGCCAGAGAGGACACAGGGACGTGTGTGTCCCCATCTTTTAGACACAGCTACGCTCTGCTGGTCCTGGTGGCACTGTGGATCAGGCACTGGGCTGCAAACAGTAACACTGGCAGTTCACACCCACCCCAAGATGAGGCTGTCTGCTCCTGATAAGGTGTAGCGTCCCAGAAACCCTAGATGGGGTCGTAAAAGGTCAGAATCAACTCTCTGGCA